TGTAGCCGTTGTCGATGCCGTCGCGGCCCATCTTCTTGCCAATGTCGCCGATGTTGATGCCGGGGAGCAGCTGGAAGCTCTTGGGGTCGCGGAGGGGCACGATGAAGGTCTTGGTGCCGTAGCGCTTGCCCTTGACGATGAGCTGGGCAAAGACGGAGCAGTGGGTGGCGGTCTGTGCGGCACCGCCGATCCACCACTTGGTGGCGCCGAGGTTGGGCGTGTGGATGACAAACTCGTCGGTGGTGGCGTCAAAGTGGGCGGTGGTCTCGAGGCCGGCGACGTTGGAGCCGTGGGCGAGCTCGGTCATGCCGAAGCAGCCAAACATGCCCTGGCAGGCGATGACGCCCTTCTCCATCCAGTAGGAGAACTGGTTCGGGGTGGCGCCGGAGCGGATGGCGCCGAGGAAGAGACCATAGTGGACGCCGAGACGCGTCCAGAGACCCGGGTCGAGCAACGACATGAGCTCCATGCGCTTCTGGAAGTCGTCTACGGGCTCCGAGGTGACGTAGTGGGCGAGGCGCTGGATGCGCTGCATGGTTCGCTCGCGGATCTGCTCCTTTGTGAGGTCGTAGATGTCGCCCGAGTAGAAGACGGGGTCACGGCTAGCCTCGAGCATGAACTTTTCCTTTTTCACCAGGTCGGCCTCGCTGCCGTGGTGTTCGATCGCCATCTGCGGGTCGACAAGAGGGAAGGGGATTTTGGTCAGAATCAGTGCGTCTCAGATGAGAAATATCGAGCGTCTTTGATACACACCTTGCGAACATCAAAGGGAGGGTTGGCCCTCTCCTTTGCCATGGTGTCCATGGTGAGGCTGTCGGTCCAGGACGACATGGTGGGCGAGTGGACCTTGCTGAGAACTGAAAAACGGTCGAAGGAGGAGTGGCGCTGGGTGGTGATGGGAAGGGAGGGTATAGAAGACGCAGTCACGACAAAGCGGAAGGGACAGATGGTGGAGAGAAAGAGAAAGGCGAAAGGTGACCAAGAGAGGAAAGGTCTTATTTGCTGTTCGAGTCGAGGTTGAAAGCGGACGACGGCTGGGCAGAGAGATTTCAGGGCCAATTCAAGTCACAAGTCACACGGAGCATGCAGGGTAGAGACAGCACGGCGAGTGAGAGAAAGAAAGAGCATGTTGAAAGCGCACAACTGGGCGCGTGAGTCGCTATTTCCAGCCAAATCAGGTCATGATCGGGCGTCAAAGCGAATGCAGCTGAGACTGTAATTCTGCTTTGGAAAACCATTTTTCAGTCTGGGCTGCTGCAGCTGTGCTTGGCCGTCTCTGCCCAAAATCGAGCCTTTTGGCTGCGACGATCTCTCCGCATTCATCACTCGCATCGCCGCGCGTCCGCTTTCAGTGTGCGAGAGAGCATCCATCAACTCCTCGATAGCCGGTGGTTCGGCCAATCGATCCTGCCGTTCTATGCGGGGTTCGACGCTGTCGCCCCTCGACCTCTTGCCACAAAACACCCTCGACATCGATACGCCTTCTTGATACTGTGACACCGAAGTAGCGCCACGATCCACTAGCCATCTCCAGTTCAACCCTGCTTTGCCCATTTCAATATGCTTCAGATGAAACTGTAGCACAGATGGATGCGTGGGTGATGTGAACTGCAAACGGCAAGCTGGAAGAAGCAAAGCCACTGCGACGTGAAAGCTTGACGGTGATAACAGGCTTAGCGTAAAGCGGGCACGAGCAGTACGGCCTTTCACGCTCAAGTCGCGGCCATTCCTCCAGCTTATGTCACTCGCCGTCATCATCTTCTGCAATGTTAGGCCACCAATATCCACATTTTGAAACACTCGCCTCCACGCGGCTGTCCAAATCCGCCTGATGTCTACGAAGAGCATGGATAGCGGTGAGGTCATTTCGACGCATGTCCAGCTATTCATGCTTGCGATCCCGAAGCCACACAGCCTCGCTGCAACGAACAGCCAGCAACCCGTCTTGCCGCCGGTCCAAAGAGTCGTCATGAGCACAGATCAGCCTCCTTGCACTCCATCCTCCCGTCTCCATCATCTCGCAAGCACCAGAGCAACTCACAATGGCGCATCCGCATCTAGGCTATGTCAATCCCGGTAAGTGTCTTTTGAGCCATCGCCGTCCACTGCGTCGCATTTCACTGATATCCTTTGCTTCGGCTTCGGTGTTGCGTCGCAGTCACGGGCCACGACTTTGCGGACCCGGGCGTGTTCTACGACCGCGCCTCCCAGACCTGGTACGCCTACGCGACCAACGGCAACGGCAAGAACATCCAGTGCTCGTCCACGACCGACTTCTGCTCCTGGACGCACCATGAGCACGACTGCCTGCCCGGGCCGCTGCCACCGTACCAATCTGGCACGCCCGGCTTCCTGTGGGCACCGGAAGTGATCTCGGCGCCGCAAAACCGCGGTGGGTACCTGATGTACGTGTCGTGCCAGGACGCGATCCATCAGAAGCAGTGCATTGGCGTCGCGTACTCGGAGCGCGATCCCAAGGGGCCGTATCGGTGGATTACGGACCGGCCGCTCATCTCGCGCGGCGAGACGGGCGGGACGCTCGATCCACAGCCGTTCGAAGACCCCGCCTCCGGCAAGCGCTACCTCGTCTATAAAACGGACTGGGACAGGATGTACACGGCGCATCCGCAGCTGTGGCTGTCCGAGCTCGCGCCGGACGGGCTGTCGCTCGTCGGCGACATGCATCCGCTCCAGGGCCCCACGCACAAGTACCAGTGCGGCCTGCTCGAGGCACCGTACCTCTTGCACCACTCGGGTAAGTATATCCTGTTTTTCTCGTCGGGCACCTTTACCAACGGCACGTACGCTACGTCGTACGCTGTTTCGTACAACGGCATCTTTGGGCCGTACGAGTGCCCCGCGCAGCCGCTGCTCGAGACCGACCGCGCGCGCAGCATCATGGGCCCCGGCGGCGCCTGCGTCGTGCGCGGCATCAAGGACCACTACTTTATTGTGTTCCATGCGCTCGAGCGCGAAGAGGGTAACAGGAGGATGTGCGTACAGCGCCTGCGCTTTCAGAGTGATGGCACACCCGTGCTCTCGTCCAGACCCAACTGCGGCAAGCGCCTGCGTCTCGGCGCGGAACACGAAGACGACCTGCACCATTTCGGTGGCCGGCCTCCGCAGCCCAGCGCCGCTTCGCACCATGAAGCAGGCTCGGGCTCGAAAATGTCCAAGCTGCTCAACAAGTTCAAGGACAAGCTCGACTCGTAGACACCCGTGCGATCTCAATGCGGAGGGGTATCATCTGTCCGAATTGTCGATTGTATATACATGACCCATCCTTGCTTGCGTCTGTGCATCCACGCACGTGAAAATCCCACGCCTGCTCAGCTTCATTCGCAAGCTGTCACAGCTACGAAACCCACCGCTGCCACGCGCCCGCCAAGCGGCCCCACGAATACAGGAACGTCCAGATGCCCGTCGCCGACAGGATGGGCAGCGACAGATTGTCGTCGACACCTCCGAGCTCGAGCCCCTCTGCGACCGCAGCGACGACGCCCGAGCCGAGCGCGAGCAGCCACCCAGGCATGCCGGGCACGTCGGTGTGGATGGGCAGCGCGTCTGTGCCCAGCTTGCCCTTGGCAATGCTGTCCACGCCGAGGTACTGCGCCGACAGGCCCGATGCGCCGGGCAGCAGGCCGGCGCCGCTCTGGCCGAGGAAGCCGCGCGACAGG